GGACATGACCTGTTCACCTGCATCGCAAAAAGAAGCGAAGCCGAGTGTAACCTTCGAACCCGCAACCCGAAACCCGAAACCTGAATTCGCGCGGAAAGACACCGTCGACTGCGCAGACGCATGGAAGCATCGGCCGTCATCAGCTCTGGGCTCACAGACGTACTTGAAGTGCTTCCGGAAGAGCTCACAGCAACTATGCGTGCAAGGCGGTCTTGTTCCGAAAGATAACACACTTTAAACTTTCACTTGTACGAGGTAGGGACGTATTCGGGTAAACCTTTGCGCGACACGCAGACCTTCGCCTCTAAGAAGTCTTTTCTTGGCCATGGCTGCGCAAGATTATCGACGTGGCGGTCTGCCAGCTTCCGTGGTCGACTTCGGCATTTACAAGGCTGCGGCTACGATGTTCTGGGGAAACGAGAAGAGCAATCGCTGGGCAAGATGGCTGAGCGATACACTGTCTGGCTGAAGCTGGACGATGACACGATCGTCGAGGACGTCATCGATTGGCGAGCTGGCGCGGGCCGCAACTGTTACTTCTTCCGATTACCCAGCAGTGGATCTTTATTGATCTGGAGATATTCCAAAAAGGTGCCTTCTCACTTCACGTTTCGGCTAGCGTTGCAAACAGCCGCGAAGTTCCGACTCCGGGGGACGTCTCTTCGCTTCACCCCGAGAGCCTTCCAGGTGTTCCGGAGCTTGGCGGCAGAGCCATTCAGGGCGAATCGACAGACATGGACATCGCATCTCTCCGAGTCAAGCTGGTCGAGGCCAAACGCCGTAGATGCCACGCACGGCGTTGCTGGAACTACCGACTTGGAATGGGAAGGCGTTCCAGCGACTGCTCAGGAGAGGCTGTCCGCGCGCTGCATCCTTGCTGCGCAGGCTCGGCCGTACGTTTTGCCTTCATGCGCGCGTATTGTCCAGAGTGCTTGCATTATGTTTCGTTTGGATGTTTTGCAACAAGTTTGTTAGGCTCTGCCCCTTGTGTTGACTTTTTTGTTTTTTTCTGTTCTTTTCTGTTTTTGTGTTCGATTGCGAGGATCCGAGAACTACTTCGATGGGTTCCTACATTGACCGTGCCGACGACCTTCCCCCATGGTCGGTTGTCGACCTTGTCGACCGTGCAGGTACAGATTGGTGCGAAGCACTCTTCGTGGAAATTTTTTCAAAATTTCCAAAATGCAAGTTTCAGCACTTTTCAAGGTTTTTGGAGTTAATTTTCATTGTTTGCAGGCATCACTGGGTTGTTTTCAGCTCTCTGCAGTGGTCTTAGCCGGAATTTTCCCAGACGGAATTTCTGAAAGCTGCATATTTTCAGAAATTTGGATTTTTGTTTTTGAAAACCTTGAAAATGTGTTTTTTTTCATTTTGTTGAAAAATTTTTTGTTTGCTCCCATTTTACCTGGCAGATAGCATGTAGGAATTCCAAAAATGATTTGTTTTTAAACCAATCATTCCACAGAATGCATTCTAGATTTTTTGGACGCCGCGTTTCTGACAATGTTTTTTGAAAATTTTCAAAATTTAAAAGTTTGATTCAAACCAAGCCGGTTGGCTTAGTTGCAAAAAGTTAGTAAGGCTCATTTTGTTTTCAGATCATTTCGTTAACAATGTTTCTCAAACAAGAAAAAGTTGAAAAAAAAAAAAACATCAATTGATGTTTTTGGTTTCTGAACCAAAGGCATTGCAAAATCAGTGTTTACACTGCAGACTTTTTAATGCTTGAAAACCAGTGTTTCCTGTTTTAAATATTTTTTCATTTTTGAAATTTTGAAAACAATCTGCTTTGACCAAGGCAACTTTGAAACCAGTGTTTTTCTGGTTTAAATGTTTTCATGTTTAAAATTACAAAAATAATTTGCTTAACAGCGCATCTCCAATTTGCTCAAGTTTGGTGTTGCCTTGCATGTGTCAAGCCAGACAGCAGCCAAAGTTTTTTTGAGGCTTTGTTTCAGCCTTTGCAGGTGCAAACAGGAAAATGCACGTCAAGTCAAAAAAAATGGGCTAAGTTTGAAGTCTGGCTTTGACGCGAACAGGGGAAACCGGTAGATGGGCTGCGACGACCGCAATTGCAGACCGCGACGGCGACGCGTGGTAGTGGCGGACCGTGGACATGAGTCATGATGACTCATAACTCATGCTATGACATGACTCATGACTCACCACTCATGACTCCCATGTCTTTGCACTTTCGTTTAATGTTGTTTGATGGTAGGTGCGCCGTCTCAGCTTCCTGGGGCGCTGTTGCGTCGAAGAAGCAGTGGAGGAAAAAAATAACTCATGACTTCCACAAAATACATTCTGTTTTTTTTGAACGCCGCGTTTTTTCAATGTTTTTTAAGATTTTCAATATGTTAAATTTTGATCCAAAGCAAGCCGGTTGGCTCAGTTTCAAAAAGTTAGTATGGATCATCTTGTTCATTTCGTTGACAATGTTTTCTTAAACAAGGAAAAATTGAACAAAAATCAATTAACGTTTTTTTTTTTTTGATTTTGTTTTTCAGGCAAGTTTGTTCAGAGCGATTATGTTTCTAAACAAGGCATTCCAAAATTATTTTTCATATTGCAGACTTTGAAATGCTTCGAAACCAGTTTTTTTCTGTGTTTTAAACGTTTTTTCATGTTTGAAATTTTAAAAACAATTTGCTTTAAAAAACGTAGCAAAAGAGCATCTCCAATTTGCATCTCAAGTATGGTGTGGCCTGCGTGTGTCAAGCCAGGACAGCTGAAAAACACAGACCAAGTTCTTTGAAGTCCTGTTTCATTGCTGGTGGTTTTGTTTCAGCCTTTTCTGCAAACAGGAAAAAATGCACGTCAAGCCAAACAGCAGAAAAGAAAGATGGGCTGAGTTTGAAGTCTTGGCTGGATTCGACGCGAACAAAACTGAAAGGAAACCAAGGCAGTTTTTCATTGTTCATGACCCGTGTTTGTGGCCGATGGGTTGCGGCGGCCGCAATGACTCACGTGACTGCCGTGACTGTGGCTGTGACTGTGACTGATTCATGGTTCCTGATTCATGATGATCTCGTGACTCATGACTCATGACTCGTGGCTCATCATGATCTCATGTCATGAGTCATGACTGAATGAATGATTGATGACTGATGATTGATGATTCATACTTCACAATGCTAATGATTCATGATGCGATGCGATGATGCGATTATGATTGATGCCAATGCCAGGCAATGCGGCGGCAATGCCAGGCCAGGACCGCGTGCCAGCACCAGGACTTCCAAAATGCAAGTTTCAGCACTTTTCAAGGTTTTTGGAGTTAATTTTCATTGTTTGCAGGCGTCGCTGGATCGTTGTTCAATGGACTGGCTTCGACGTCTGTTTGTCGGTTCAAACAGAGTACCTTTGAGCCTAAAAACCCGACCCTCAAACCTGAAAATAAACCCTGGACACTTAGCTCCGTCGTAGGTAATGGGGCCATGTAATCCATGTGGCCCCCTGATTTGATGCCAAGCAGAGAGTGCTTCGCACCCCCATTTTGCCGTCAGGCAAAAAACCCAAGTGACCTCCTTCCATGGGAAGCATTCAATCACAAAATATATTCTTTGCATAGAATGCAAACTGAAGCAAGAAGCACAGCCGTAAGCTCTTGTGTTTGCAAAGTCGCGGGCATGTTAGCCGACACTCCGTCATCCTCTCAGCGAGCGGAAGAGACCTGTCAGCTTACAGCAAGCACAACTGGAGGCGAAAGTTTGAAGCCAAGATTTGTCTGCCAAGCGAAGCAACAACGCAGCAGTAAGCTTTTGTCTTTGCAAAGTCGCGTGCGCCAGAGCTCCCTAATTCGCAACCATGACTCGGGCCCTTACGGGCAGTCCTGCACAAATAGGTGCTACTCGTCACCGCTGGATCTCCTCCCCATTCCGGGTTGGTGCCATGGGGGGATGTCATCCCAATCCGGGTCGGTAGACGCAGCGAGTGTCCGCGGCGCACGGCTGCTTTCCGCCCATGGGGAGGGGAGTCATGTGTACCTGCGCGTGGGATGTTGGCACGGCTGCTTTCTGCCCATGGAAGGAGGTCATCTGTACCTGCACGGTCGACAAGGTCGACAACCGACCATGGGGGAAGGTCGTCGGCACGGTCAATGTAGGAACCCATCGAAGTGGTTCTCGGATCCTCGCAATCGAACACAAAAACAGAAAAGAACAGAAAAAAACAAAAAAGTCAACACAAGGGGCAGAGCCTAACAAACTTGTTGCAAAACATTCTGACAGGCAAGAGTACCTCATGATCACGGTGAGTTTTCTTCAGTTGGCTGCACGAGCACGAACGTATCTTGTACTGAGAAGTGCAAGAAATCCCCACTGAAAAGCGTGATAGACCTCCTATCGCCTAAGAGCAGAGCATCTCAAACGACCGGCTAGTCGCCTCGACCCGGATTGGAAAGAGGGATGACGGCCTGTCTCTGGTGAGTGTACAGGGCTTGTAGCGACTGATCGGATCGGCCTATTTAAGACGGCGGTCGCCTTAGTGTCTGTGTGTGCGTGTGCTCGTTGCGTGTGCGAGTGCGCGGCTGTATTTCTGTGTGCTTCTGGACAGAGCAGACACAAAGAGATGAAGAGATACAGAGAGAGAGAGAGAGAGAGAGAGAGAGAGAGAGAGAGAGAGAGAGAGAGAGAGAGAGAGAGAGAGAGAGAGAGAGAGAGAGAGAGAGATAGAGAGAGATAGAGAGAGATAGAGAGAGATAGAGAGAGATAGAGAGAGATAGAGAGAGATAGAGAGAGATAGAGAGAGATAGAGAGAGATAGAGAGAGAGAGAGAGAGAGAGAGAGAGAGAGAGAGAGAGAGAGAGAGAGAGAGAGAGAGAGAGAGAGAGAGAGAGAGAGAGAGAGAGTGAGAGAGGTAGGGTTTGTGTGCATACATACGACTGGCTCGCAGTCAGGCCATAGGATGCAAGCTGAAAGATTCCATGTGGCTAGGGTTGAAGGTGTTGAGGATTCGGAGTTACTTGACCAAGAGGTTTGCATGGTTTCCAAGAAGTAGTCATGATTTCCTCCATCTTCGAGAAAGACGGGACTTTGGATTATGTGGTCCAATTACCTTACCTGCCGACCCGTGTAGAAGAGTTTGCCTGGCGTCTGCCACCAGCAGCACCTCACACGAAGCTGGGGGTGGGCTTTGAGAAACTTCCGCACGTGGAGGGCCTGCGCGTGATTGAAATTTGTTCCAACGGCAGGGCACAGACTGCGCAGGCTGCGCGTGACGGCACCGTTGACGAGCGCCTTCGTCCCCCGCGCAAGCTTCAAGGAGGAGACTTCGTGGTGATGGTGAACGGGCGGTCATCAAGGTCAGAGATTTTGGAGGAACTCCGAAGCGGCCGCCTGGTGACTGCGATTGTCTGGCGCTTCCTTCAACCCTTCCAACTTGAACAACCCCGTGAATGGGAAAGATGTCAGACGCAGGAGGAGGCTGCCGATGACAAGGATTCAGAGTCGCGCACGGCGCCATGAAGAGCTCCACGGATGCCAGTGTTCGTCTGGGCAGAAACCTGAAGCTTCCATGCTGCCACTGGTTTATGTCGGACTTGTGGACAGCGCGCGCAACTCGGATTCAGAAGCAAAAGGCTGTGTTCTGCCACCAAGACTTGTGCGGCTTGCGTAGCACCGCTTTACTGACATTGCCTTGCAGCACTTCTGATTTCGCTTTCACCGTGCATTCTTGTTTATAAGCCTACCTGCGAGGTGGAACCCTGTTACGACGGACACGTCTGGTCGGCTCGGGCAGAGTCGCTGCCTCATCTCTTACGGATGTTCAGAAAGCTGGACACTCGGCGATGCTCAGCTGAAAAGGCCGGATCCATGTCGAGCGTCTCCATGCCTGTGACTGCCAGTCATAAACAGGTTGCGCAGCTGGCCAACCCTTTGCAGTCGCGTTGCCTCTCGCCGGGACCTCAGTCCCGCATGGACTTACAGTTCGGCTTCAATTTCACTTCGAGTTCAGGCAGGTTTCAAGTGCAATCAAAGGCTTCCGGTAATATTTCGGATGAGTCTGCAGATGCCCTAATTGCCCTAAGGCCATCTGACCTTCGCCCTCAGGAGCCTTTCGGGAATACTGAGAGGGTCTTGGGGGGTTCCAATGCCTACGCTTGGCTTCGATAGCATACCTTTGACTTTACGAAGCCAGGTTAGATTCCTTTTCGCTTTGGCAGGTCGCCCGCGCGAGCACGGGTCTAGGATGTCCTGAAACAGAAACAACAGCGCGCACAGACAAAACAGGAAATTACTTAGAGGCGGCCTGCGTTGGGGTTGACATTCATTACCACCTAGACGATTGTCCTGTGCAAGGCCTGGCCGCAGCCCCAGTCATAAGGTTTTGCAGTAAGTCTTCTGGCTCCATCTAATCTAGCTAGAATTTAGCTGCCTCAACCCACCTGTTAACCTTACAATAATTTTCCAGTGAAACGCGATGGCACCTCTTCGAGCTCTGTCTGAGTTTCGGGCATGAGAGCACGGCCACCGCTCTTCTCACGCAGGGCGTTCCGGGCTGCAAGATGGAGGGCTGGCAGTTGGAGTTTCTTTGCTCGACTTTGGCCTTGGACAAGACGGCGAGAGCAAGTGCTGAGTGCACGCCGGGTTCCAGAACTTATTCCAGGGTGCTTGCTCCGCGCCAGAGGCATGCTCCAGTATCCAAGAAGGCGCCGCCCCCACAGTCCCGCAAGGCTCCTCCGCCGCAGCTTGACCCGTGCGCCTCGGGAAGAACCCCCACTGCGAAGACGACGCGCCGCCAGACGCCCGCCCGGTCGTCGGCGTCCGAAGAATGGCTGCTCGAGATGGACATCGTGCTGGCTTCCTTTTCGTCTTCCCTATCTGTAGGCTGCTGCTAGAATCAAATGAATTGCTCCTCACTTTCCTACTGCTGTCCTGGTTTCCCTAAGGTTTAGGCACCAACCCAGGACCCCGGAATCAGCCAGCGCACACACACAGAACCGACGTAACAGGCTTCAATTAAATTAATTAAGTGAACCAGAATTCAGGGATGGGCTGGGGTCCACCCTAAGCTGCTGCTGAATTTTGCGTGCTTCCTCAGGGTTTTGGGGGTCCGCCTTCTCGGGGCTAAGGCCTCTCCCAAAGCTTTCAGGCCATCAACAAGTGCAGGAGTTGCCCTTCAGCCGGTCAGGCCCAAGGGGCAACTCCTGAATAAGCAAAGATAAGCCCCTCTAGGCCCCCGGAACTGTAGGGTTTAATCGTGGGTTTATAAAAATGAGCTCTGGAGCAAACCGTGCTTGGTTCGTTAGGTTGTTGCTGTCGCTAGGAGCTTCGGGTTTAAGATAAGTTAATAGATAATAGTGCTCCAGCACTTCATCAACGACAACACCCAACACCAGGCAAACCACCCGGTGACGGCCTCAGGTCTTCCAACGTCGAGTTCAATTGCGGATTGCGCGGCTCCGAGAACTATTTCGACGGGTAGCTACCTTGATCAGTGCCAGCATCGCACGCGAGTGGAGTGTGAGTGCTTAGATGTTGGCCGTGCAGGTACAGATGATCTCCCCGCATGGGCGGAAAGCGGCCTTGCGCCGCCGACACTCGCTGTATCTGCCGACCCGGATTGGGAAGGAGATCAAGCGCTTGCTCAGGAGACGCACTCGACGACTAGCGTCGCCCCTTCATTTAACAAAGATCGGCAGCTACATTGGTTCTGCGACCTGGGGTCGCGCCTCACCAATGTACGACTGACACACATGTTACTTGTGCAATTATTCTTGACGCGTCGCTCTTTACTTTCGCGCGGTTTCGCGCTCGCACTCTCGCACACACACTCACACTCACGCACTCACACTCACGCACTCACTCATGGCCACACACTCACTCCATCGCTTTCTCACTCTCACTTCTGTACTCTTTCTGAATGGAAAACTTTGCATGTGGGGTTATCCGGTCCTTTAATTCCTGGCTTCAGGTGTAGGAGGGTCACGTCCATGATGCTCGTGGCGGCGAGGATGATCCCTGGACCTGGTGGTTGGATGTCTCTCTGGTGATGGCCTTCGTCTTGTTCGGTTCGTGTGTGAATGGCGTCTCACCGATCTGGAGCGTAGATGTAGAGCACGGGCGTCGGAATGATGATGATCGTGCTTTCCCATGTCGCGTCACAAGGAGTGTGTCGCTGTCTTACCAATCGATTCGATCAATGTGCTGCAACGTGGCATGTCATGATATGTCATGGTTTCATCTCTGCAGCAATGTCACAATTTGCGCATGCCGCGTGCTATTTCGTGATGCTTTACGATGGATGATGAAGGTGCACGGCCCGCAGTTGGTGCTGGTTCTTTTTCTCGCTCCAAACCGAGGGTCAGTGGTAGGTGAGATAGAACAGGACTCGTTTTTCCGAAAATCCAAGACAAAATGACCAAAGATAAAATGTTTCCAAGCGCTGCTGGGATGTGGATTCGATCTCGGTCAGTTCGTGGATGTTCGGCTGCACTTCCGTGTTCTTTTGGAGTTCGTTCATTGTGTAGTCGAACTGGACGATGTGGGAGGCTGTCTGCGTGGAGTGGGGTTGTAAGGCGTTCTGGCATTGGAGCGGTGCTGTCCCACCGGCACTGCTTCCGGAGTGGCAGGAGTTCGGGATCCTGGTCGGAAGTAGTTGTACAGGTAGGTGATGGTTTGTCCGTGTTTTTCGAGTTGCTCCTCCACTTTGTCAAGGCGGACGCGGGCGTAGTCGATGCTGTCGGATAGCAGGGATGTGGGGATCTTCGCGTTGTTGCATTGGTAGTTGTTGGAGCTTGTCCTTCACCGTCTCCAGCATGTACACGAGTGCGTCCAATCTGCTCTCCACTTCGATGATTCGACTGGTTTGTGCAGCTTGTTCTCTCTGGAGCTCAGTCATCTTTTGGTGGATCTGGCGTATGGAGTGTGTGTGTCGTTGGATCATGTTGTCTACCGTGGCTCTAGTGGAGTCTGCTCTGAGGGCCGCCAGCCTGACGTCGTGGTGACTTTGAAGGATCGCATTGGTGCATGTGTGCTTGTAGATGTACTCAACCAGGTTGTTGAGTTCATCAATCGTCTTGTTCATGGACACAACACGGTCGGTTTGGAGGCCGATGATGTGTCGAAGTGCTTCGATGCCCTCTCCCTGGTCCGCTTGTCGCGGTTCATCGATGTCGTCGAGGTTCTGCAAGTCTGGTACAACTGGCTGTGGAGCTTCTTGGGGGGTCGCATGGTCACCTGGCGTGTCGTTGGTGGTCGCTGTTGGAGTCGATCTGTCCTCCGGGATCTTGTTGGTCGAGGACATTGATGTTGCCATGGACGGCATGGTTGCTGATCTCGTATGGTGGAATCACGTGGATATCACCCTTGATGCGTGACTGCTGCGCTAAGCACTTGCACGAACGCGTGAACATGTCATGAAAAGGCACATGCCGACATGGTGCATGATATGTTTTGGCATGTGCGGGCAGGATGATCATGAGCGTCTTACTGTGTCGGCCTATGCACAAAACGGAGCATGTCAGGATCATGTTGCTGGTATAGTGCACGAAGTTGTCGAAGTTGTTGTAGACGTACTCGTTCTGGATGGGCGATCTTGGAGATCATTTGTCGTCTAGTGCGGTACGCGCTGGTGCAATGTATCATGGGTGTGGATCCCCTGGGTGAGAGCAGTTGGTGGGTTTCCGAGGGAAGTAGGAGTCGAACTTCACCGTGTTGAAGATCTATGTTGCAGCCGAGATAATCTGCGTTGTCCTGCTCTTCGAACTTCGAGCAATATCGGTGGACCATAGAACTCCGTCTGAAGGAACTCATTCCAGGGTGTTGTGCATGCCCACGATGTAGGTAGTATGCAGATGCGGTCGTCCACATAGCGTTTGGTGAACTTGTTGAAGACCTAGCTGGATGCCAGCATCGATCTGTACGTGTTGTACCATTGGTGCTCTTCAACGCAGCAGACCATGTGACAAAGTACTGGAGACATAGGGTGTCCCATGGGGCTTCCCCGAGTTTGTTTGTAGACCTGTTGCTGCGAGGTGAAGTAGCTGCACTTGAGAACGTACTGCGTGATGTCCCAAATGTCGTACATGTGGATCGTGAATCGTCCTTGATTGATCTTCTTGAACCTGCCGTTGAACGTTCTAGCTGTTCGCAATGTTTTCTTGGTGTCGTAGGTGACGGTGACGTCTTGCCAGTTGTTGAAGCCTCGTTGTGACACACTGTAGTACTTGTGTAAGGTGATGGTGAGCGCCTGAAGGATGCGGTCCTGCGGCACGCTGGTAAAGAAGCCCGCAAGGTCTGCTATCTGGATGTGCATTTTTCCCTTGCTGACATTCATGAAGGTGTGAAGGTCCCGGAAAATTTTGTACGAATTGTCCTGTTGTGGCTTCTTGTTGACGGTCTGCTTCCCCGTGACGACGTGGAGCACCAAGCCGACCTTCTGACCTGACAAGTGAGATGTACAAGAAAAGCCAGTTGCTGAAGACAGCAGACGGTTCAACATGCGATAGCTACCATGTGCAAAA